CTATCCAATCTCCATCGTGATCACGAAGCACTCCTCCTGCAGTGACCATCCCTGGATTACTTTGAGCTACGCCATCAATGTTTAATTTATGCCATCCTGTCGGCAATTAATGTCACCCTTATCTGCTTCTTGCTCAAATTGTTAGCCTTTTGAGATGTTTCCCAAGTTCTTACCTATTCAGAAGCCTTAGCCAGAACATATTGATATAACATTGCGGTAGTAAGCTTAATCCCCTTGAAAATACCTTCATTCCTACACTTCTAAATGTACCAAAGAATTAGGCTGAAGAAGTTGTTCCACTGACCTGGCCAATTACCAGTAGAATCATCCATGATGTTTGCTTTGAGCCATTCATCACAGCTGGTATTGAAGAAACTGTCTGTTCGTTGTTGCTCCAAAATTCTATTCTAGACTGATTTAGCCCTTTTGCAATCTCTCAGACAGTAGAGGTTCGTTTCGACGACATTGCTACATTCAGGGAAAGAGTCATCCTGCGTTAAGTGTCGAACCTTCCTGATGCTGTTCGTGGTCAGCTTTTGCTGGGCAGCCATCCACATGAAGACCCTGACTCTCTCAGGGATTTGTAGCTACCAAATTCGTTTCCATATTGGACTAGGTTTCTGTTCACGGAGTTGTTGGATTGCTTTGCAAGCATAGTTGGTAGAGAAGTGTCCGTTGGCGGTAAGGCTCCAGAACGCTTGATCACCTTCAGCATCCAACGGGTCAATTATTGTCGCTCTGATCTTTTTGACGATATGCTCTGAAAGCAGGTGTTGAAATTCATCAATCTTCCACCCTTAATCGGGATCCCACAGGTCAACAACCGTCTTCCTTAATTGCTCCTTTGGTACGTCAGTAATAGCCAGGTTCTTTAGAGGTACCTGCGTAACCCAAGAGTCACACCAAAAATTAGCCTGCCTACCATTCTTTATATTTAGAGAGAAACCCTGCCTCAGCACATTAGCAAAGAAACAAAGCTTCGCTAGGCGAGAGAGCTTCCCTGTTTCTTTTGAAGGATGTTGAGACCCTCTCTACTTCCTCCATACTTGTTCAGGAGCAGATTAGTCCACAAACAATCATCCCTGGTGGTACGGATTCCAGCTCCTCCCTGATCCTTTGGAAGCGTGATCTGCTCCCACGCGATGGGTTGAATTTGCTCTTTCCCTCCTCTTCTGTCCAGATAAATTGTCTATTAACCCTGTTCAAAGAATTGCAAATCGAGGCTGGAAGATATTCTGAAAACATAGGATAGACGACCATAGAAGATGCAATAGATCTCACCAGAGTTAGACGAGAAGCAAGAGACAAGTAGTTAGTCTTCCAGGAAGCAAGTTTTTTATGAATACGTAGAACTAACTCCTTGTATCTAGCTTTAGAAACTCTTCCATGAATGGCAGTCAGGCCGAGATATCTTCTCATGTCATTAGTAAGAGGGATATTAGCTTGATTGCTGATCTGCCGAGCCTTTTGCCGACTAATGTTTGTTTCATGTTTGGTGAAACAAACATCATGGACTTGTTCAGATTGACCTTCTGCCCAGAACTTTCACAGAAATCCTCTAAGCACCTCTTGATGACCTCCATCTGATTAGTTCCTGATTCTGCAAACAAAATCAAATCATTTGCAAAAAAGAGGTGAGAAAGCTTAAAACCATGGGATGTAAGGGAAAGGGGCTTCCATTGGTTATTCTCCACAGCAACAATGATCCTGTGGGAGAGCCTTTCCATACACAGCACAAACATATAAGGAGACAGGGAGTCTCCCTGCCTCACACCCTTGGAAGGAAGAATCCAATCAGTCAACGTGCCATTCCAATTGATTTTCATCATGTTCCCTTCCACGCACATCATAATTCTACTAATCCAGGTACTGGGAAGGCCAATTTCAATCAAGGTGTCCCTGATGAACTCCTACTCAGCCTGTCATACGCTTTCTCAAGACCTATTTTGATTACAATTCCCCCTTTCTTTCCTTTCATTTTCCGAAGAGAATGAAGAACCTCTTGAAGGATGATGATGTTATCATTGGTCTGCCTTTTGGGGATGAAACCACTCTGAGTTGGAGCCACCAGTGTGCTCATTAGAGGCTTAATTATGTTTGCCATGGCCTTGGTTATAGCTTTAAGACTAACGTTATTTAGACAAAAGGGGCGCAGTTGAGCAGGGGATTCTGGATGGTTGGTCTTTGAGATGAGGATGATAGTAGATTCGAGCATGCCCTGCGGAAGGTGACCTGATTCAAAAAAAGAAGAAGCCAAATTAGCAGTATTCTGTCCTACCAGGTGCCAAAGCATTTGATAAATGACTGCTTGAAACCCATCAGGCCCAGCAGCAGACAAAGGTTTCATTCCAAAAATCTCCTTATGGATATTTGCAATAGTAAAAGGATGAAGGAGAGTAAGAAGGTTTTCCTGGCTAATTCTGGGGAAGCAATTCTTGGGCAAGCAGTCCAGGTAAGGGATGGAGTCTTGAGTATAAAGGTTGGAGTAGAAGGAAACAACCAGCTTTTCTAGCTCAGTTGGATCATTCACCCAGACTCCAGATTCATCCTTCAGGGCTAGGATCTTATTTCTTCTTCTCTTTCTGGTAGCTTGTTGGTGAAAGTAGGCAGAATTTTGTTCACCAAGAGTTGCCCACTTTTCTTTGGCTTTCTGAAACAAAATCACCTCCTCCTGAGGCAGAAGATCATCAAGTTCCCCTTATATCCTAGCTTGAAGCTTAATTAGGTCAGGGTGGAAATTATTGGCTATCCTGACTTGAATTCCCTAAATCCTAGCTAGCAGCCTCTTCTTCTTGTGCTGAATGATACCAAAAGTCTCTTTATTCCATTGCTGAAGCTTTGGGGAGATGTTACTGAGCGCTTGATGAAGATTGGTATCCTTGTCCCAAGAACCTGCAAAAAAGGTGTGAAACAGTTCAGGAAGCAACCAGGCTGCTTCGAATATGAAGGGTCTTTTGTTTCCACTATTATACACGAGCCCAACACTACTAGTGAGGATTGGAAGATGATCGAAGTGTAGTTTGGGCAGGTGTTGGACAATCGTATTAGGAAAAGCGGCGTTCCATTCCGAGTTGCAAAGGGATCTGTCGATTCTGCTTGCTTTGATATGAGCTCCTGTCCCCCCTCGAAACCAAGTGAAGCATGGTCCTGAAAAACCCAAATCAATTAAGTTAGCCAAATAAATCCACAGAGTAAATTTTTGGCAACGTCTAAGGGAGGCGGAAGAGATTGCCCCTGATTTCTGCAATGGGAATCGCCGGTAACAAGCCACGGAATCTCGATGTTACTGCTGGTGCGAATAAAACGATCCCACAGTTGCTGATGGAACACATATTGTGGACTACCATAGACACCAGTAAGTAACCACTCTTTTTTGAGACCTTCACAGTAATGTGCTATCTGCTTGCATCTATTAATTGGACATCAAAGTCTTCCGTTTTCCAAGCTAACCAGATTCCACCTTTTCTTCCCTCAGCGTCAACTTTCACAACTTCGCCAAACCCCAAGCTGCTGCAGATTCTGTTCGCCGGGTCGCCACTAATCTGGGGCTCAAACAGCAGGAGGAAGTTCAGAGAGTATGACTGAACAAGGAGCTTAATAGCCAGACAGAACTCTTTACTCCCTGCGCCACACACGTTCCAAGCTAGAAGTTTTAGATTAGGTTGTACATACATGAGAAAATTAAAAGGTATAGAGAGAAAACAAAAAAGACAGATGGGGATCTCAGGCGATCAAGCGACGATTGCGGGATCAATGGCCTGTTCTCCCTGGCTGCTGGCATTATCCGCTTGAATATCAATAGAGATCGCAAAGAGCGTTTCTGCCATGTCCACATCCGCAGGCTTCCCAGAGATAATATTTTGTAATTCTTGAGCCTTTGATTGAGTGTGAGCATAAAACTCCTCAATAGCTTGAAGAGTGATCGGAAAACCGCCATTCACGAGCTTCTTGGGCGACTCTTTCTTTTTGGATGAAAGGATTTGGAGGGGTTTTTGATAGCTTTGAGACTCACTCCTTTGCTTTGACCCTGGTTCGGAAGATTTTCCTCCTTCTGTTTCTGAGACCGTTGGCGGGATTTAATCCTGTTTGAATTTGGGTCAATATTTTCCTTCTGATTGGGCGCCAGAGGAGGAACTGCAAGGATGTGGATCTTCGTGTTATTTGGGCCTAAGATCACTTCTTGTGAAGCGGGTGGGCTCGAAGTCGAGGCTTGGCCCAAGGGAGAGCCTTGGCCCTTTGTAGTCTGAATTTGAACCGGTTGCTTATTGGAGACATCCTTAGATATAGATAATTAGAACTTAGAGTTCACTCATTAAGGATTAGGGTATAATATCAAGTCCAAATATCCTGCCAATTCGAGTTCTAGATAGCGTTTTCATACACAAGATATGCGGTACCCTAGATTTCACCCAGGGTACCGTAGAAGCCACCATATATATATATATATATATATATATATGGCAAAGGCTAGCGTACGTCTGCTGTAAGTCTGTGTTCACACTTGGTTTTAGATTAAATTAATCTATGGCTTGAGTTAGAGAATTAAGGACTGGGGTTCTGTTGAGTGATATAGGTTTCTGTACATTTGGGCTTTGGCCCACGGTCCTGTATGTAGGAGTTAGGGTTGGCCGTGTATGCTTAGTAGCTAGGGTTAAGGTTATATGATCCATTAGAGATCAGCGTATAGTATCATGTCCCAAACTCTGATTAATTCGTGCTCTAAATAGTATGGAGGCTCATAATGAAGCAAGAGAAATAAGATGCAGAACAGCTAGTAACTTGTTGAAAGCATAAAATAAAACAAAGCCGAAATTAACAGTTTTCTACATTCAAAATCCAGGACTCGATAATAAGAAGAGTGAAAGTGCCACCACACGATATACATACAGCATCATAAACTTGAACCAAAGAGATTGAAAAATTTAATTTAGTAGTACTATATTTTGGGCTTGAAGAGGGTACATAATTTATAAGCACTTCACAGTACAACATAGATGCATTTAAGCACCGAAATAGGCTTTGATGGGAGAATAGTTAGCTATGGTAGAAGAGTTGTACATCTTCTTGGTCTCTTCCAGTCGGACGGCTAGGAATTCCTTGAAATCGAAGGGCTTATAGAGCAGGCGGTGTTGTTCGTCAACGAGCTCCTCGGGGGCCTTCACGGTGTAGCCTTCTTTGAAACCAGAAAACATCCCAAATGTGTATCTCGTCTCCCTTCCACTCAATCTTACACGATGGTAAGGAGAGTATACCCTTCCATTTGTCCATGCCTGCAATTTTATAAAATTCATGGTATCTCTATGAGGAAAATATGACTAAGATATTACTCTGAATCCATCAATTGAATCCTATTTATTCACTAAAAATCCAACCAATTCAATCCATCAAATTCAATTTTATTGATGAATTCATGGGTTGTTAAAAAATTACAATTTAGTACCCATATTATCAATTTCTAGTAATTTGATACCTAAAATTGAACAGTTTCTGAAAATATATTTTCGTCCTTAAATTTTTTGTAATGACATTATAGTACTAAACCTTTTAAAATTTTTTATAATGACCCAAGGTTTAGATTTCACTTGGATCCACGAATTCAATAAATTTGATCCAAAAATTCATTTAATCCAATCGATCAAACCATCGATCCAACCCACTAATCCATCAATTTCCCACCTGTATATATAAGTCTTACCATACATAAGTAAATTATTGGGAACGAAAAAAAGGGATGGGTACATAAAAAAGTAAGATAACCATTAGGTTGGTCAATCGAGTCTTTGTCTCTCAGAGTCAGAAGAGGACTTTGCATGCCCTACCTTTTTAAGAGCATTTTTATTTTTTATTTATTGATTTTTTTATTTTTATAAATGAGGAAAAGAGCATTTTTATATTTAAGTCAGACCAAATGCATCAATAAGTTAGATTTAAAAAATATTAAAATTTGTTCTTTATAACATAAAAGTAAATGTATGATTTAAAACTTTTTAAAAAAGCAATTTTGAAAGTAGAAAACTATGCATACCATTTTCAAAAAAGTATTCTGAAAAATATATTTTATTTGTATAGTAGTATTAATAACTATATTTCTTATCATACTTTATAAAAAAAAAATTAGATTATTTACATCATTTTTATATTGAAAATTATTTCTAATAATTTGTGAACCAAGCACATAATTATTTTTTTAATCCTTTTCTTAAATCTCGACCAGAACCAACTTTTGTAAGAGTTACAACTTTACAACATGACCAAACCAATGCAAAATTATTTTTCTAGCGAAGTATGTTTGGCAAACTAGGTTTCTTTTTCTGGTAAAGTAATTTTATGACCCTTCTGCTATATATGAGATTTACAAAATCTGTTTAAATAACAACTTAATTATAGTGTGAAGTTCATTTTAAAACCTTTAACTTCTGTTTAAACAACTTGAACCTCTACAATTTATCATTTACTGTGGCACTGTAAGTAGTTATATATCGATCACCACTTACGTGAAAAGATTCGCCGAGGATGACAATGAAGGAACCCTCCGAGTATCTCGCAGCAAACCACCGACCGTCCTTGTCTTCAACCTCCAAACCGTCGACATGATTCCCGTACAGTATCGCCGTCACACCCTGGTCCATGTGCGAGTCCAGCCCTACGACCTTCTCCTCCTCACTTCCCGGCGCGTCATACCTTATTCCCCTCACCGACAAGACCACCGAGTCCACGTGTCCGTCCACGTGGCTCTCCAGCCCCAAGCTCTCCATAACCATCCTCCATATCGTCCCCTCCAGCTCGGCCGCTCGCCCGGCGAACGCGATGACCGATTTGGTGAAGCTGGGATTTCCTCCCGGCCAGAAGACAGCAGAGAAGGCTTCGACTTTTTCAATGTTGTCGGGGTGAACGATCCCCACGCTCTCGAACAGCGGCGCGAAGGTTGATTTCCCGATGTACCCTCCAAAGGGTTCGGAGGAGACGTTGGCCGTCAGTGTTTGGAGAGGCAAGTCGAAGAGCTCCTTCATTCCTTTCATGACGCCGTGTGGGATTTCCAGAGGGATTTTGGTGTCGGTGATTTTGAAGGCGCCGTACTCTTCTGATGCTTTCCAGACTTGGGATCGGACGAGTTCCCATTCTGGGCTGCCGGGTTGGCCTAGATTGGTGATGTCTATGACGGGGAGGATAGGCGTTTCAGAACCCATTTTTGTTGTTGCCTAATTTGTTCGGTAATTAATTAAGGTCAGAGTGTATTTATCTTATGTAGAGACGAGTGCTATATGCAGAATTACAATTTAGTGCAAATCTTGCAAACTTAAATAGTGTTATCACTTGAGCTTTGAGTTTTGACCCACCTATGATTATGGTGATTGTGTAAAATATATTAAATTTTTTGTTCTTGTTCAGGACATTTGACATACGTCACCCATGCAACTGCTAGCAAATAAAAATATCGTACATCAATTTTAATTTCTCGAAGATTATTTATTTATTTTTTAAATTAAGAGTTATGAATTGGCTGATGTATTTGTTGGTACGTAAAATTTGTCAGCTACCCAAAATGAAAAAAAAATATATATAAAGATATGATACGTATTATTAATTTTGTGAAGGACGTACGATCCGAATAGCATGGTTTGTAATACAAATATATATTTGATGGACAAAGTTCAGCTAATTAGCGTAAGACATATATTGGAGACTTATCCAGCGTCTTGTTTGTGTAGGTGTTCGTTGAGTGTGACTTGAAGTTGAAAATAAAATTAATAGTGGTACTATTGTTAAAATTGAGTTGGAAGATTGAGTATGTAGAGAAGCTGATCTTTTCCCTTTTGATATTGACAGCCTAGTTTCGTTTAATTACGCGTTCTTCCGTCACATCATTATGAATATCTAACTCGTCCACTCTGTTTGGGAAGAGGGTAAATGGGAGGAGGGTGCAAATGTGAGGGGTAAACACAGCTTCCAACACATTTGCACCTGTTTGGTTAATTTGGAACAGTAGGGGGGTGCAAAACGAGAGTGCAAATTTACTGTTTCGGCTTACCCCCCGAATTGGGGTGCAAAGGAAGGAAGGAAGAGAGGGGGAGGGGGGAATTATGGAATTTTGTTTTTCTAATTGTGTTATATATAATTATATAATAATTAATATTATCAATTTCTTCTTTTTATAAATATCATTAATGTAAACATTATTCGGGGTTGACCATTTGACTCTGGAAACAAGTTTATAAATGTTCGTCAAGTCAAATCTAGATCTCTTGGTTGAATCGAATTTGCATTGAAAATTAGATATACAAGGTGTTTGTGGAAAAGATAGAGAGAAATTGTTTGGTTAACTCATTTTATTTGACTAAATAGTTAAAACTTACAAATTCGAACGTGTTTGACTAAGTTTGACAATTTAAGATTAAACTAGACACGAAAACCCTATATAGGATGACCAGTTAGGAGTTGAGCTTCGAGTTTTGAGATCGCTCGATCAATGATTATTACAATTGTTATAATTAATTATTATTTGAGCATTATTATATAATAACTATTTTTAGTAAAGTATATTTATTATTATATAGTAATATTTATTTTATTATTTTATGATAATATTTATAATTTTAAAATCTATTTTAAAATAATATAATTACTTACTTTGCACTTTATTTGCACCCCCCTACTTTTTCATCCAAACAACAATTTACCCCTCCACTTACACCCCCCAGCAATTTGCACCCCCCAGCAATTTGCCCCTCAACTTGCACCCTCCTGCAATTTGCACCCCCCTTGTTGCCAAACAGAGCGGTCATGAATCTATAGGTAAGATGTCTTGACATTTTCTAGCGCATAACTGCCCTTAAAGCGTAGGTTTATTTACACTTTTTTTCTTATATATGTGTTATAAACGCACTGCTACGGATCGGAAAATCGCTGGAATCGACAAAGTAAGAATACGAAAGCGAGAATCGAAAACACGACACACGATTTACGTGGTTCACTAACACGATGTGTGTTAGCTACGTCCACGGGCGAGAGAGAGCCAATTTCACTATATCGAGGAGATTACAAATTACAGAGGAGTATGAGAAGTATTTATAGTACTTCTCCATGTGGGTCTAAACCTAATCCAATCTGGCAAAGGAAACGGTTACAGACCAGGCCCAGAACCCGATTCAAGTCACATCAACAAATCTCCAACTTGAGAAGTGGAGAGATACGTACGGTCAAAGGAATTGCCTCTCTGTGGTTGAAAGTTTTTGCAATTAAACGTAGAAGAACACGAACTTGAAGAGAGAGATGAGAGAGAGAGAGGTGAGAGAGAGCGGGGGTGAGAGTCTTGGTGAGTGTTCGTCTTTTTGCAGGTACGCGGCGGTGGATCGGGTGACAGCGGGTAACAATTCATCGGATTTTCGTCAGCACAGGTCGGAAGCTTTTCATTTCAAGACGATATCTGGACACAGAAATGTTGTCATCGAGGATTATGTTACAAAAAGGAAGAGGCTTGTTAGAATTTCGTCAGATGAACCTCGGCGCAGGAGATTGATTTACTTGGAAGTGTCCCAGGCTGCGTGGCTCGGTAAAACACTAAATGATATATCGCAGAGGGGCTGGGAATCAAACTCTTTTCACCGGAGGACAGAACCTTTTCGTGCCATCTCTGTCGACAGATTCGCTTGTCGGGAAGGATACTTTCTTAAAATCTCGGAAAGAATCCCGACTGGTAGAGTGTTCTCCATATGCATTCCATTCGTCCCTAGTGAGTGGGGAGTATTGATTAACAGGCTGAACCAACAGGTGAGTAAGTCCTATCCGAAGAAGCATATACAGAGGAATGCCTGGCTCGTTCAAGGAAAATCCTACGCTGAGGCTGTTAAGCAGAGTTTCCCATTGGAAGAGGGGAAGAGCGCCATCAAAAAACATAATTCCCTACCCTTCCTACAGGTTGAAGAGAATGGAGTTCCTGATAGATTGCGCTTCCTCGACCGATGCCTTTCGATCAGCTTCTTTGATAAAAAGAATCAGGGCCTACCATCCGCTCTTTCGGAAGAATTTATGCACTGGGCTAGAAGGCGTTGGAACCTGCCTGAAGAAACGAGCTTCTCTAATAGGGTCGGGGATCTCTGGTTCCTAGTTTGTACTTCCTTGCCTGAAGCTATGAGGGTCAAAGAAGATGGTTATGCTAAATTTCGTCAATGGAATGTCATCCTTAGATATTGGAAGGAGGAGGACGGGCGTTGTTTCGCGCCGCAGGGTGGTCTTCAGTGGGTTTTGGTTTTCGGCATCCCTCCGTTTCTTCGGTCGGCGGATGTATTCAAGAACATAGGTCAGATGTGCGGGGGTTTCATAGACGTCGATCATAGTGCCTGGTCTGATCCATACGTCCGTATCAAAATTCGACCAAGGGGTGTTCTGCCGGAAATCCTGCCGATCAGGTTTGGCAGCACAGTCTTCGTAGCCAAAATTGTTCCGGTGCCGGAGATTGATCGCCCGATGGCGGACTTGAACCGTCGCCGTCTTCTGGATCAGATCTCAAGATCGTGCTATGCATGGAAACTGACCAATCGAGAACGTGCCTCGTGTGCTGCGGATGAGGCCGCTACTTCGATGCAACCGAGCGACGCCTCGATTCCTTCAGTGCCGTCTTCTGGCAAGAAAGTGGCTTTCTCCCCCGCTCAGCAATTAAAATCGGATCATGTGCCTGGGATCAGGAAAATCTGGGTCCGGAAATTCGGCCCACCAACCAAGCCCATATCTCACCATCCCCCATCCTTCTGTGAACCCATGGATTCTGAGCCCTTATCATCCTTTGAGACCCTCCCCGTCGGCCCAGCTTCTTATGGGCGGCCGGGATTAGCCCCTGTCCTAGCCTCTTCTGCTCCCCTTCCCAGCCCACAACCTCCCCCACCCTTCTGTGAACCCATTGAACCTGAGCCCATAACATCCTCTGAGACCCTCCCCGTCGGCCCATCCTCTTCTGGGCGGCCCGGATTAGCCCTTGCCCTAGCCTCTTCTGCTTTCCTCCCTAACCCACCCCCTAAGCCCAACCCCTCCTTAGTACTGTGCAAACCTTTTTCTTTCTCCCCAGCTCTTGTATGCGACTCTTTCATTTCCCTTCTCAGTCTCTCCATCCCCCAATCCATTATCTACAGACACCCTTCGATCCCTTTCCATCCCGGCCCCAGTCGTCTCCTAGATTCCTCTTTGCCACTCCCTCTTCCTGAACCCCAAAATGCCGATACCGCTATCCCTGACGAAAGTCTTAGCCCATCCTCGCCTAATTCACGCTATAGCTCCCCTGCCCCCCCGTGCCTTGTCTCCCCTGAACCTGTTGCCCAGGAGTACCTTGCGATCACTACCTACAATCCTCTCAACTCAGAATACTTCGAATCGTGGCGGTCCAGGCAAGATTTACTTAGTCTGGTCTCACAGTGCAAGCTGTTCTGCGATATCCTTAAATTATCGGACTCGGTCTCTGCTGATAGTGCCAAACAAAAAGTCAGCCTGATTGCGGCGGATACTCACCGGAAGAGGAAGAGAGAGTCGAGGTCTAAATTAGAAATGGAGCTACGCAGGCTGGGTCTGGACTCCCCTCCCCCTATCTACAGAGAGAGAGTGAGACTGTTTAATCTTCTTAATTCTATTCCTTCTCATAACTCTTTTGCAGGTCCAGAAAGACCGATCTGGCGTCCGTCTCCGACAGCTAGCTTCAGTGTGCATTCGGCTTTCGAACACTTCGCGGCTGCTCGCTTCAAGGGAGTCGAGAACTTCCCATCAAAGGCAGTTTGGCACTGCACCATCCCAAGCAAGATCTGCATTTTCCTTTGGTTGGTCTTCCACAAAAGGATTCTCACCATCGACAATCTCAAAAGAAAGGGTATAAGCCTGCCGAACAGATGTGCCCTTTGCAAGGCCGAAGAGGAGTCTGTTAATCACATCTTCACAAGCTGCGGATTTTCAAGACAGGTGTGGTGTATGCTGAAAAGTTTTGTGAAGATTGAGGACAGAGTAGAAGAAGCTGGTGATATTTCGGAAAGAATCCGTCGATGGCAACACAACAAGCCCAACAATCCTGCAGAGTGGTGTACAAGGGTGGCCCTTCATGCATTTTGTTGGCACATATGGCTCGAAAGGAACTCAAGAATTTTTAGAGAAGTGGATGGCACAACTCAGCTCGTTGCATTGAAGATTGGTCACGCAATCTTTTGGTGGCTGG